GTAGCAAAGTTCAGAGTGTCCAGCCAAGCAGGGAAAACTGTCTGGTAGCTGAGAGCCACATTGCCTGGGAAAATGGTAAAATGACACAAGAAATGATCCTTCGACTAAGAAATGTAGAATGTGGTGAAGTTGTGATCCAAATTGAGGTAATTGATGCCCCATCGCCTAAAGCCGATCTCTTCTAAGGAAGGGTTTTCGCACTTATTGTTTGTTGTAGAATTACGTTAGCGAAGCTTAATTATATGTAGCTTAGCCAGTAACTTTCTATCAGATTCATCTCTATAATAAGTTTATGACCCTCTCAGCGTTTTGGTTCAGACATTTGAGCTCATTATCTTCAATGACAGATACATTTATAGATCTTGGTATATTTTATGGTCTGGTAAAAAAATCAAAGGTACTTGTGCCTTGCAGCCTAAGAGATGACTGGGTCTATGTTTACTTCAGAAATATTTTGGATTGTGATTTGAGCGTGGTTGGTACGTGGTAGGTTCATGTGTCCTATTAAGGATTGGCATGTCCCTTCCAAGGTTGCAAAATTCAATTAAAGAGTATAGAATACGTCATAGATTCAAAATCAGAGCAATTGTGTGACTAGTGTCATTGCATAGGAGTGAATACGGTTTCAGTATACCAAATGAAAGTCCAATGTCGCCATGTCGGTTCCTGACTCTCGCCATTTCCATTTTTATACACTCCAACTTATTTTTTTTATATAAATCGTTGCATTCTAAATTAGTAAATTTATTTCAAAACTTCCCAATAGTATCTTAAGATTTATTGGATATTTTTTTAAGAAAAGACTGATATTTTCACATATTTGATTTGACTAGTATTTGACTCGGTGTCATGCATGGGTGGAATGAAATTGTTTTTGATTCTACGATATGGAAGATCAAAATTACTTGATTTTTTATGGTATACACAATTTAAATTTCATATATATATATATATATATATATATATATATATATATATATATATATATATATATATATATATCTATATATATATATATATACAACAACAACAACAACCCAGTTAAATCCCACAAGAGTAGGGTCTGGAGAGGGTGTGTGTACGCAGACCTTGCCCCTACTCGAAAGTAGAGAGGCTGTTTCCAAAGAGACCCCCGGCTCAACGTCGAAAGTTTCATTGCTTGACTAACTGCTACTTCATTAATTAAAGAAGCGCAAATAGTTTAGAGATCCATTTTGATTTATTCCATCACACCCCAAAGCCAAAAACAGGTGAAATTTTGGCTCCATCGGAGATGATGGAAATTATATATATATATATATATATATATATATATATATATATATATATATAGACACACACACAGACATACATACATACATACATATTAGAGTATCTACCAAACTTCGTTGAAAATATGGTGCATACGTAAAATATTTTTTCATATGCTTGTATGATAGAAAAGCTTTTTATATTCTTCTCTCAATTAATCTTATTCAGAGAATTTGTACTTTATTAAAAATTTCATCCACCAAAAGCATACCCCATAGTTTTTTAAAGAAATGACCCTGAATAGGAGTAACACATAAAAATAGAACCAAAATAGGACTTCTAATTTTTTATTCCCTAAATAGGAGTTTGCATTATTGTCATGAGGTACCGTACTTATGCATATTACTATACTTTTTTTTACTCCGTATAATTTACATTATCATGATTGGTAATGTAAATGCATTTTACATTCTATTTCGGAAATAAAAATATGAAACTCTTACTTAAGTATATTTTCAATATTTTACTTCTATTTTAATTTTTTTTCCCTAATTTTCACTTTAAAAACATGCCTAGTAGAATCAGGCACACTATTTTAACGTTATTGAGAAACTGTGCTCATTAGAATCAAACATATCGTTTTGAGACAAAGGTTTGTAAAGGGGCGGAAATATTATTAGGCCACTCGCAATATATGAAAAATACATGTCATAAACTCACATCAACGTTGCTTCGTTCACCAAACAAGCCCTTGGTGTTTTCATCATTACATTCAAGCAATACCAACAAAACAAAGCTTTCTTGGGTGGGCGTGTAATTTATTTGGTTTTGTGCGAAAAGAAATACTACACGAAATCGCTTAAGACGTGCTCAAGAGTCTTAAAATGTGTTTTTCCCAAAGCTAAGAGTAATAGGTACAAATAAAATTACTCAAAGAAGTGTATTGAAAACCTTTACAGATATGTCATTGGTGTCATTGGTCAACCCCTGCGTCTAGCCCATTTGAGCTAATTATCACATTAGAATCAATCTGTTTATCAATTTTCTTTTTCCTTCGAGCTTCAAATTCTTGAAAACCTTCCATCTGAAAAGGGAAAATACTCGGGTAATATTCAACATTTATTTAGGATATTGACATTGTATATGTAAAGAATCCATCAAATAGAATGACACGCCAAATAACAGAAAACAACCTGTTGAAATTGATCCATAGAGATTGGATTGCCGTGAAGGGATATGCTCTGTAAAATTTTGCACTTTTGTAACAAATCTGGAGGCAACTGACAAATCAAACACATCATGCGAGTTATCAAACAACCATAATTTCTTACATCTTTACATGTTGTGAATATTACTGGTTTACACAATGCACACTACACACCTTACACCAAGTGTTATAGAATATGAACATTTACTTCAAAATGATCTTTTATTTTTTATTAAGAAAAATATGTACTATCTTTTAGAAGATGGCATTTGGCATAAGATGCAAAAACAAAAGTGTCAAAAATGTGATACACCTTGTGGCTATCAGAAATTCAGAACTATGTATAAACACAAGGGTCCAATAGTTAACATGTGTATCTATCAACAAAAATACAAGAAACTGAATTATTTTCAGAGTTGAAAAGCATTTTTTCGCTACAAAGAAAGGAGAGATTAGGCACACATACCTGTTTGAGATTGTTATTGTTCAAGCGTAATGACTTTAAATGAACAAGGCTGCAAACAGAAGCCGGGAGTTCTTCAATAGAATTATCTGTAACATTAGTTAATACTTATGACAATGAAAAAGAACAGGCAGAAACTGAAATGTAGCATCATCATACTATGACAAGTTTTCAAAAAAATGATTTAAAACAAGAAAAAGTACTCCGCATTCAAAACCAAACTGCTGGTGTTACCGATTACAACTAGTATGTGTCATATCAATCAGCGAGTGTAATATAGACCAATTGTGGGAATAAAGACGCTACTATCATGAGCACAAATTCACCCCCACAGCAATTATCATGTGGCTCCATGGTTAGATATAAGAGAAATTAAAAACAGAGGGAATTAGAGAAGGAGAGAGAGAAAGAGAAAATCTAGGGATTCTATAAGTATCACATAACAGTGGTCAATACTTATTTGTATCAGTAACTTATCAGAGAACTGAATAGCCGCCTCAAATTATGAAAACATAGACTTTTCAGAGAGTTCCACTGCAGATAAAGATGCACTTGAGAAATGCTCCCTCCAGTCCTAATTTATGTTCCAGCTTTTTTATGGAGTTTAAGAAAAAGTTAAATTGTGTGGTTGAATCTATACAGAGGATAGAAAAATCATATGAACCACATAACTCTTTTCTTAAAAGAAATGAGAACTTCATTATGAGAAGTCTCAAAAATGAAAATAGAAACTTAACCTAGGGACGGCGAGAGTATTGAATAATCTGAAAAAAATTGAGTCAACAAATCAATGACTGGTCAGCTGAATGTATTAGTCGCTTGCATCCATTGCAATGCCAAGAGTGTGACAGACTGATAAAGTAGATATAGATATCATACAGACCAATTAAGGAGTAAACCTATTCTGGACAGATACATCTAAGGAATTATGTAGTAGTCCCTCCATCCTCAAATAAAATTCTCACTTTCCATTTGTATGTCCCAAAATAAATTTCCCACATCTTTTCTTTCCGTAAAAGGAAAGGAATAAGTGGCTTACAATATTTCTCTCTCCTCTAAAAACATTCTATATCCATTCACTTTTCAACAATTTTCCTAAACTTCATGAAGTCAAACCAAGACTTTTATTTGGGGACAGAGGGATTATTTGATTTAATGAGCAAATGTCCTCTGCGGGCCAAATCGTTAGAGAAGATTATGGACCCACTTCGTTTATGGGCAAGGAGGCTAATAAAAATGCACATCTACAGGAGTGATGACTAGATCATAAGCTACCATTTGCTTGTAATTCTTCCAGAGAGGAACAGTTTCCAATAGATTCTGGCAACAATGTCAATTTGTTGCTTGACACATTTAAAAGAACTAACTGCATAGCCCAAGAAAGCAGGGGTTAGTTTGGCAACCAAAATGTGTATGACTATGAACATGAATATAGAACATCTTNTAAAAGGAAAGGAATAAGTGGCTTACAATATTTCTCTCTCCTCTAAAAACATTCTATATCCATTCACTTTTCAACAATTTTCCTAAACTTCATGAAGTCAAACCAAGACTTTTATTTGGGGACAGAAGGATTATTTGATTTAATGAGCAAATGTCCTCTGTGGGCCAAATCGTTAGAGAAGATTATGGACCCACTTCGTTTATGGGCAAGGAGGCTAATAAAAATGCACATCTACAGGAGTGATGACTAGATCATAAGCTACCATTTGCTTGTAATTCTTCCAGAGAGGAACAGTTTCCAATAGATTCTGGCAACAATGTCAATTTGTTGCTTGACACATTTAAAAGAACTAACTGCATAGCCCAAGAAAGCAGGGGTTAGTTTGGCAACCAAAATGTGTATGACTATGAACATGAATATAGAACATCTTGGTCATAACAAAAACAAGTGATGAACAAGTGAGAAACATTGCATCAAAATGGAACTGAAGGTATTAAGGGCATAAAAAACATGCTTGGGGCGAGCCATGCTTGAATCAAGTGAGAAACATTGCATCAAACTAAATGTTTTTTATTGATCTTGGGGCGAGCCATGCTTATATTCCCCCAAATGATCTTTACATCATGTGATAAGGGTATAAAAAAGCAATTCTAAATACTTAAATGTATGTAAAAAATTCAGTTAGAAGCAACTCACATTGCGCAAGCTCCCAATTGTATCAGGCAAGTTTACTAAAGAGTTCTCTGAGACAGATAAGAACTCCAGCTTCACTAGCTGGCCTACTGAACGAATGAACACTATTGCAGTTAATAAACAAGGAATCTTGGCATATTTCATGAGAGAATTCAACTGTACCATTCACAGACCGAAAAAGCAAAGTAGAGTACTTTTAGAACCAGGATGTATAATGTGAAGAACAAGATGATGATAAAATGCTGTTGCTTGAGGGGGAGTGTATTACATTCATCAGGTAAGGCTGTCATTCGATTCTTATCAAGCATCAGAACCTTCATAGACTGAAGAATTCCCAGATTCACTGGAAGG